CATTTTAAGTCCTGAAGAAGTATCATTCTCATCTCCAGAGGCCGTGCTCCTTTTGGTCAGCAGCATAATAACATTGCGCGTGCGTGTTAAGGACTTGACTGTGATTTGCGACTGAACAACAACAACAAAAAAAACGAAACCAGAATTTCAACTCGGGCGTTTCCTTTGGAAAGCCCAAATTAGCACGATGGGTGCTAATTTGAATTATTATGATAATTAAAATTGTTGTTGATTGGCAGCAAGTACAATACTATACACGTAAAATGCTTATTGTTTAGCGCAATTCTGATAAAGAAGGAAATAGCTGTACTTGATGGTTTTTGATGTAGTGTTGTTTGATTTCTGCAGCTGACATGGGATTTGCCAGGCTGTTCAATGCTCCATTAAAGCCTCTTGCTGATCTGGATCCAGTTGTGGTGACATTTTGGTACAGAGCACCTGAGTTACTTCTTGGTGCTAGACATTACACAAAAGCCATAGGTATGAGTACTGTTAATATTTTTAGTTTATTTTTGCACAATGTACTTCTAAATGTACATGTGTACATGTATAAATTATATGCAACTGAATCATCTTATTAAAGCTGCATGCCTGTGTGTACATTACATGTACATGTACATGTATATCTTTGTAGATTTTATCATAAATGTCGTGTACAAATTAAGTTGTATTAACACTGAACTGAAGTAACAGTTATAACAGAAGCATAATGTAGATGTATACAAACTTGTATTTATTTTACATGCTTAGAGGGACACTGCTGATTCTCCTTAATGAGATGCGTGTATGCTCATTATGTACACGTACATCACAGAGGTTTCATCAAAGGCCGGGCACTGGGCAAATTGACCGGCTGCAAGGACGATTTTAACTGCCTGGTTTGACCATTGAGTGGAAAGTTTTTCTTGTAAAGAAGTTCAGTTTAAATAGTTTTGCCTGCCTGTGAAAACTAGTTGCCATCCTGCTGAAAACATTAATCAAAGGTTCCCCTTAAAATGTCATCAGTTCTTATCCTTATTATAAATTCTTTACTTTTATTCACAGATATATGGGCTATAGGTTGTATTTTTGCAGAGCTATTAACATGTGAACCCATATTTCATTGCCGTCAAGAGGATATCAAAACTAGCAATCCTTATCACCATGAACAGCTTGATAGGATATTCAACGTAATGGGATTTCCACAAGGTGAGTTTCATGTGCTGCAGTGATGTCTGACATAAGATAACCTTCTTGTTAGACTGATGTGATGGCAGGTGTACAAGTAGGCATATACGTACATTTTTAGATTGATGCGATTCGTCAGTAACGCCTTTGATGCAGACAATATCTGAACATACATGTACAAAATTGCTGCAATAATCCCCTGCAAGCATGTTAGTGCTAATCCTATTGTTATCTTTTCTTAATCTATTGTGGTGTAGGTCTTGTTAAATCAAGTGTTTACCTTGGGATGATTAGGTACATGTAGTACAGCCTTCAATAAACAATAAAAATAAAATAAATTATATAGTGTAATACACAATACAATACAAATTTTATTTCAACTCCCCATGGGGGCTTTTCGGAGACAATGATAAAGATAATATTAAATAAAACAAATACTCAAAGATTATCGATAAACAATTATTGAAGAAGTTAAAAATTGATTTAAGAGGAAGGCTTTCATTTTATGTTTTATGTTTAAAAATGACAAGGGATTCACTTAATTTAAAATGGGGTTTGTTTTAAGGCATTCCACAAAGTTACAGTTCTGTAATAAAAAGATCTCTGTCCCGAATTGGTTTTAAAAAGTGGCATATTAAGCTGGGTACAGGGTTGGTATGGGTCCTGGAAAACCTGGAAAGTCCTGCAATTTTATTGTGGCATTTTCCAGGACTGGAAAGTCCTGGAAAAGGGCTACTGGTCCTGGAAAGTTCTGGAAATCTGTTAAACTCAAGTAAAAAAGTATGAAATGTATGGCAGACAGTAAGGAGAATTAACATTAAGATCTTGGGAGTGAAAGGGTTAATGTGAATTTTAGAGTCTTGGAAAAATCAATCTGAGTCCTGGAAAAGTCCTGGAAAAGTCCTCGAAATTTGTTTCTGAAAAAGGGTACGAGCCCTGTGGGTACATGATCTAGTCGCCTGACCGCTAATGTTTCCTCTGGAGATAAAATTTGAACTGAGGTAGTTTGGTACTTGACCTGTCATAGATTTAAAAGCCAACACGTATCAGAGAGGAAGTCACATCAACCTTAGCTGGTTTTCATGCAGGTCTTCTATCCTGACCAGTCGAATTGGAATTTGGAGTGTTGGTTTTTGTGGAGGGAGGAAAACCAGAGAGCCTGGTGCCTTGTAGGGGACCTATGTCCTTTTGTCTTTCTACCTGCCAGTTGGAAAATATATATATCTATTAAATTAATAAATAGATATATTAGATTAATAGATATTAGGTGTCAAGAACCCCTGTTACAAGTTCCCATATAAATTTAATGCATGTTTCAAATGATACAATTTGTACAGTGGGTACATGTGTGTATGTGATACATG